TGACTAGCTACCTTTCCTCTAGTCTTATACTGCTAAATTAGGGACGGCTAGCGCAGATAGCCCTCGTGTAGTTTTGACGCGAAATTCAAAAACAATCAATCAATCAAAAAAGATTTTGGGGCCTGAAAGACAACCCGAGGTGGTCAGAAACTTTTGCTTCTCTTCACTCCCACATCCAAACGTCCGGGCTTCGGTCGACCAAGCCGGACGTTTCACCCATTTAAAGTTTGAGAATAGGTTGATGTCGTTTCGGCCCCAAGACCTATTTTGCACGTCAGAGTTTCCTCTGGCTTCATCCTGCCCAGACATAGTTCACCATCTTTCGGGTCCCAATGAATAGTGGGATTGACCGTTACATTATATCACCCCAAGGGTGAAAAAGCGAACATGCTTGGTGACGAGGATTCGAATCTGCTACCCACAGATTGTGAGTCCTAACGCAAAGAAATCAATATTACCAATGTCCGTATATAATAGACACAATACATCAAGTGCCATAATATTTCATTTTGAAACATTGGTAACATATATTTATCTTTCTTTCAGGTCATGACTGCCGAAATTCTGGATTATGGTTACTTTGAAGAAGTAATTTGATTGAATGAAATTCTAGTTGTGCCCATCTGCTTCTCGCGAAGCTAACTTCTGTCGTGACAAAAAATTTGGTGTAATTTGTAAAGGTTATTTTTGTCGGATTGTTTTTAATTTGCGGCTTTCTGTGACAACGATTGTTTTATATCAGTAAATTCTTTCTTAACCATTTGTTCTTTAGCTTCTTTATGACAGGAGGTCAACTGGTGTTTTCAAATCCTCATTTTCTTGTTAGGTCATCTTTCCAGGTGTTATAGCTTTTCGATATGAATGATAGTTCAATAGATCGAAATGTTATTTTACTTCTATTTTTATGACGATATACAATAAACTTTGTTTCAGATTCTATGTAATGCACCCATCTATATATTTTAAACCAAGAAGACAAGTGACGAATGCAGGAGGGGGTCGAACTACTACCCCAGTATTCTAAAAGTCCACTATCTTCTGATTTTCAAAACAAATACTTGACATTCAAGTACCTCACTTAAACTGTAGTGTTGGTTGCACCCCTGCATGATCGATCTTCAATGAATTTATGAATTTTTCTGGTGGTAAACCGATTATGGATTTTGTT